GAGGATCTCTTGAGCCCAGAAGTTTGAGGTTGCAGTGAGCTATGATCATGCCACTGCAATTCATTCTGGCAACAAAGTGAGACCCTGTCCTCAAAATAAAAAAATAAATAAAAATAGGCTGGGTGTTGTGGCTCACACCTGTAATCCTAACACTTTGGGAGACCGAGGCAGGCGGATCACCTGAGATCGGGAGTTTGAGACCAGCCTGACCAACATGGAGAAACCCTGTCTTTACTAAAAATACAAAATTAGTTGGGCGTGGTGGCGCATGCCTGTAATCCCAGTTACTTGGGAGGCTGAGGCAGGAGAATCTCTTGAACCCAGGATGTGGAGGTTGCAGTGAGCCAAGATAGCCCCATTGCACTCCAGCCTGGGCAACAAGAGCAAAACTCCATCTCAAAATAAATAAATAAAATAAAGTAAAACACAACACATGCCTCAAAAGTTGAGAACAAAAGTATGGGCGAAGACTCAGTTGATAAATTCAAACCAAAAAGCAATAGTTCAGATATTTATGTCAGACAAGCTTGAATTCATCACAGAATGCATCAGTTGAGTTGCATTTGGTTTCTTTTGTGTGTGTATGTGAAACAGATTTTCCTCTGTCACCCAGGCTGAAGTGTAGTGGCACAGTCTTGGCGCACTGCAACCTTATATCCTTCCATCCGTGCCCTCAGACTTCTTTCTATGATTTGTGAAATACTCTCTCACATACAGACATGTAAATTTCTTTTTTTTCTTGAAGTTCATATAGGTTTCCTTGAAATAATTTGTGAAAGATCCATGTGTGTGTTTGGCTGGTGGGTGAATAAAGCAAAGATGGTGAAAAATGAAAAATGGCATAGATTTTCTTTGAAATATTCCCTGTCCCAAACATCCAGGGAAACTAAATTTAAATGTTTATGTTTTATAATTTTTAAATTAGAAAGTTTTAATGGACCCAAAATAATTGTACCTATTTATGGGATATATAGTAATGTTTTGATTCATATAATATATAGTGATCAGCAGGATCGTTAGCATATTCATCTCAAGCATCATTTTTTTGTGTGTATTGGAAACGTTCAATATCCTCCTTCTAGCTAGTTGAAACTGTGTAATAATTATTGTTAACTGTAGCCATCCTACAGTGCTGTAGAACACTAGGGCTTATTCCTCCCTTCTAGCCATAATTTTGTGTCCTTTAACAGATGTCTTCCTATTCCCTTTTTCTCCCCCACCATTCCCAGTTTTACCTTGTAGCCTCTGTTCTACTTTTTACTTCCTTTTTTTTTTTTTTTGAGATGGAATCTTGCTCTGTTGCCCAGGCTGGAATGTAGTGGCATGATTTCGGTTCACTTCAGCCTCTGCCTCAGCCTCCCGAGTAGCTGAGATTACAGGCGCCTGCCACCATGCCTGGCTACTTTTTGTATTTTTAGTAGCAATGGGGTTTCATCATGTTGGCCAGGCAGGCCTCAAACACCTGACCTCAAATGATCCACCTGCTTGGCCTCCCAAAGTGTTGGGATTACAGGCGTGAGCCACTGCACCCAGCCTACTTTTTGCTTCTATGAAATCAATTTCTTTAGTGTCCACATGAGTGAGAACATGTGTGTTTAATTTTTCATAAATAAGTTTAATTTATTTCACTTAAGATAATGTCCTCTAGTTCTATCCATATTGCTGTGAATAGGGAATTTCATCCTTTTGTGTGTGAATAGGGAATTTCATTCTTTTGTGTGTGTGTGTGTGTGTGTGATGGAGTCTTGCTTTGTCTCCCAGACTGGAGTGCAGTGGCATGATCTCAGCTCACTGCAACTGCCACCTCCCAGGTTCAAGCGATTCTCCTTCCTTAGTCTTCCGAGTAGCTGGTATTACAGGCGCCCACCAACATACCTGGCTACTTTTTGTAATTTTAGCAGAGACGGGGTTTGGCCATGTTGGCCAGCTGGTCTTGAACTCCTGACCTCAGGTGATCCACTCAACTCTACCTCCCAGAGTGCTGGGATTACAGGTGTGAGCCACCACATCCAGTCCCCAAGAATTTCATTCTTTTTAATGGCTGAATAATATTCCATTGTGTATACACACCACATTTTCTTTATCCATTCATCTGTTGTGAGACACCAAGTTTGATTCCATATCTTGGCTGTTGTCAGTAGTGCTGCAGTAAACATGGGAGTGCAGATATCTCTTTGATGTATCATTTCCCTTTCTTTGGATAAGTGCCTAGTAGTGGATAGTTCTATTTGTAGTTCTTTGAAGAACCTTTATACTGTTCAGCTTTGTTTTTGTTTGTTTGTTTTTTGTTTTGAGATAGTTTTGCTCTGTCACCCAAGCTGGTGTGCAGTGGCATGATCTTGGCTCACTGCAGCCTTGACTTCCTGGGTTCAGGCGATCCTCCTGCCTCAGCCTTCCGAGTAGCTGGGACTAGTAGTAGGTGGCACATGCCACCATGCCCAGCTAATTTTTGTAATTTTAGCAGAAACAGGGTTTCGCCATGTTGACCAGGCTAGTCTTGAACTCCTGACGTCAAGTGATCCACCTGCCTTGGCCTCCCAAAGTGCTGGGATTACAGGAGTGAGCCACTGCACCTGGCCTATACTGTTCTTTATAGTGGCTATACTGGTTCACATTTCCAAACAACATACAAGAGACCCCTTTTTGCTGCATGCTCACCAGCATTTGTCATTTTTTTGTCTGTTTGATAATAGCCATCTGAAGTGGGGTAAGAGGATACCTCACCCCAATTCTGATTTGCATTTCCTTGATGATTAGTGATGTTCAGCATCTTTTCATACGTTTGTTACCCATTTGTGTGTCTTCTTTTGAGAAATGTCTGTTCAGATCATTTGCCCATTTTGAAATTGAATTGTTTGAATTTTTTTCTGTTGAGATGTTTGTTTCTTATACGTTCTGGATGTTAATTCCTTGTTGGTTGAATAGTTTGCAGATACTTTCTCCCATTCTGTAGGTTGTTTTTTTGTGCTGTTGGTTGTTCCTTTGCTGTGCAGAAGCTTTTAGTTTGATATAATCCCATTTATTTGTTAATTTTTACTTGTATTATCTGTACTTTTCAGTTCTTAACTCATAAAATCTTTCCCCACATCAGTGTCCCTTGTGTTTTCTTCTAGTAGTTTTATAGTTTCCAGCCTTACAATTAGGTCTTTGATCTATTTTAAGTTAATTTCATATGGGGTGAAAGGTAAGGGTCTAGTTTCATTCTTCTGCCTGTGGATATCCAGTTTCTTAGCACCTAAATTGAAATTCCTAGTCCAACTTTTTTTTCTTACATTTTCATAAGGTGAAAAGAGAAAGCTTCATTTTTTACATTAATGTGTGATTAGATTTACTTAGTAATGAATGTGATTTTTTTCCTTCCAGAAGAGAAAATATGATTTTTATTAACTAAGTTAATATTTCGAGTGTTTTTTTTTCTTCCTACAGCAAGTGAAGTATTTCTGGAGAAGAATACAAAATCTCTACTTTTATTACTGGCAGATGGAATGTAGTCATGTATCATAATCATGTATTATAAGAATGAACACTTATGAATAATAATTTGTTTCTCCAGTGTTGACCATATACTAAGAATGATACTTAGTATGTTGCATGCTTTGTATCATTTGATCCTTCCAGCATCCTGATGATAACATAGCTACTCTTATTATCCCTATTTTACAGATGAGGAAACTGAGATTCAAATAGGTTAAATGATTTGTTCAAGGTAACACATTAAGTGGCAGATTTTGGACTTGAACAACGTCTGGCACCTCCAGCATTTATGTATCTTGTCATTCACTGGTAAAGGAGAGAGTATTTCTGGACTTTTTCAGTAGCTGATATCTGAGCTGTTCGATCAGCCGTCTTGGTTGCTGGAAGTGAGGAGGATGGGTGAGACTCCATCAGCTCTCTCAGATCCTCACTTGGCAAAATAGATTCAGTTTCATAATAGACTAGATGGTGTTGTAATATATAAATCCTACCATTGGAACTTTTGTTTATAGACTGTTAGTGAGTATTGTGTAATTCCCTCCTTCCATTTTCTCACTGACTCTGAAAAGACCTGTAAGCCATGATTATTATACTATTTAGTGTGATTGGAAGCACCACATGGTACAGAACACTGAACTGAATAATGTAAGTGTGGTCAGGTGACTAGTCTTTGTGTCGGAGAAGTTTATAAAGATTGGGATGGGATTAGGTGTGGGGAAGTATTATAAGGGAAAGAACATTTTTAATGGCAGAAATTTGCTTTATTTTGTGTTTCATAGAAACATTTATAAATTGCCAAATATTTTACTATCATATAAAAAAAGAATTTCTGAGAGAAGCTTTAGGTCTACCATTCTGTTGGCATTGTAAAGGGCTGTGGGTTCTGAAAATAAGTATAGCATGCAAACACCTGTAATGAAAAAGAGACCTGCTACCTGTGACATTCATTTGGTGGAAGAGTTCTGCTGCTTTGAGGTATTTATAAAACTTAACCAGAGCAAATGTTATTTAGTTCAATTTTGGGGGATAAGGTAATTAAATTTTTTTTTTTTTTTTTTTTTTTTTTTTTTGAGACAGAGTCTTGTTCTCTCACTCAGGCTGGAGTGCAGGGGTGTGATCTTGGCTCATGGCAACCTCCGCCTCCTGGGTTCAAGTGATTCTCCTGTCTCAGCCTCCCACGTAGCTGAAATTGCAGACACCTGCCACCATGCCTGGCTAATTTTTGTATTTTTAGTAGAGACGGGGTTTCGGCATGCTGGCCAGGCTGGTCTCGAGCTCCTGACCTCAGATGATCCGCCTGCCTTGACCTCCCAAAGTGTTGGGATTACAGACATGAGCCACAGTGCCCAGCCAACTTAATGTTTTATAATGTGTCTTATTTTCTTATTTAACCTCATTATCGGAATGTTGATTTACAGTGAAGAACCCATCGCATTGGGAAGGGTGATACTGTAGTATTTTGCTTCCTGGGTGAACTAGCTTTGCTTATTTCTGTTTGTTAACTAGGCTTTTTGATATTTTTATAGACAATCTGCTTCATCTTGATTCTGCGGCATTCCAAACTGTGGTATCCTTGGGGGTTCTCTTAACATTGCTATGGTGCAGAAGATTTAAAATCAGGTATGGCTGTGGGGCCAGAAGTCCCTCAGTGAAATTCTCAACCTAGATCTGCGTTATACTCTCTGATTTATCATTTGGGTTTCTTTTTTTGTGGTGGCCTTTTAGCTGATGTTCACAAGGAATAGAGTCACGTGATGTATGAAGGGAAACATATACACTTCTCTGAGGTTGACAATAAGCCCTTGTGCTCATATAGCCCCAAACTGTGCAAGCAGAGGCGACTCAACGGCTACGCCTTCTGTATCAGACACGTTCTGGAGGACAAGACTGCCCCCTTCAAGCAATGTGAATATGTGGCCAAGTATAACAGCCAACGCTGCACCAACCCCATCCCCAAATCAGAGGATCGTAGGTAAGGGCTGATCATGAGAATCAATCCTTGATGTAATTAACAGGCTTGGAACTTTTTCTTTTCTTGTTTTTTCTTCTCTTTTCTTCTCTCTTTCTCTCCTTCATTTTTCCCTCCCTCCCTCCCTTTCCATATTTAAATGTTGAATTCTGGGGGTAATCTAAGTAAACTGTGGAATACTTTTAAAGATGACATATGGCAATTTTAAAAAATAGAATAGTAAATTTGGGGAATTACTTGAAAAGTATGTTTGAGTATCTTCTTCTTTTTAGTCGATTTCATGAACCTCTAGAATTACTAAAAAACATTTGTTTCCCCTCAAAGTTGCTGCTTAAAGTCTTGAAATGGATTTCTTTGGTTTGTGGCCTTATAAAGAATTCCTGACTTCGCTACTTAGTTTTCTCATTTGCCGAAATGAGAGAAATTATAAAAACTAATTAGGTGTTGTAATTATGATAGTAATTTTGGAGTTTAAAATCTATGCCTACAAGTTAGTAAAGGATACGTACTTATTGAAAAAAAAATACTCCTTGAATCTTTTATATATGCTTTCTATCAGACTGCTAACCAGTGTTTCTATCAGACTGCTAACCAGTGTTTGGCATGTTTTATAACCTTGCCTTTTTTGGTTAAAAAGTGTTCCAAGGCCGGGCGCGGTGGCTCACACCTGTAATCCCAGCACTTTGGGAGGCCAAGGCGGGTGGATCACGAGGTCAAGAGATCGAGACCATCCCGGTCAAAATGGCGAAACCCCGTCTCTACTAAAAATACAAAAAATTAGCTGGGCATGGTGGCACGTGCCTATAATCCCAGCTACTCAGGAGGCTGAGGCAGGAGAATTGCCTGAACCCAGGAGGCGGAGGTTGCGGTGAGCCGAGATCGCGCCATTGCACTCCAGCCTGGATAACAAGAGCGAAACTCCGACTCAAAAAAAAAAAAAAAAAAAAAAAAAAAGTGTTCCAAACAGAATATGTTTACCATAATTTGGAAACAGTATTTCACATTAAGGATTGATTTTACCACTGGAAGGATGAATATATGCTTTGCTGAATTAAAAGAAAATGCAATTGTTTTTAAAGGAGTCTTACACTGGCTATTTGTCTTCCATATTGCTAGGAAAATTCACACTACTTTTCATATGTGATCTTTTCTCCAGTTTCTTTTACTTCTGTTCCCCAGAAACCATATAGATCATTGCGGGCCTTCATGGAGAGATACATGCTTGTTTTCTAAAAGTTTCTAGATAACTTGTTATCTCTAGGTAGAAAATTTTAACCTTTTACTTCTATCTTAAAACACACACACACAACATTTCATCCATGTTTCTATACATTAGCAAATGTCACTTGCATAAATTGGTTGGAAATAAATCAGATATTTTATGTCTTGAATACTTTTTATGCTTGTAGTATGAAATAAATAATTTGTCTTGGTGGACATCTCACCAAAATGAGTACAAATAGTTTAATGGGGATTTAGGAATACTCTCTTAGAATTTCTAATGAGCACCTAAGGCTTCAAATTAAAATACCTGAAAGTTAGAAACAGCTGCTTAGTGAGGCAAGGAATAAAATTTTAATCTCAGGTGAGAAAGGGACCTATGTATTAGGCTAAATATATCTGTCTGGTTTTTAGCAGACTGAAAATGATAATTTCTTGCCCTTTCTTAATTTGAAGAATAGATGTGCTTGGATTAGTATTTTTTACATCAAGCTCCATTGTAAACACATTTCTAAAATTTTGTGTTAAATCAGTTTATTATAGTTACAGTTGTCAGCATTGGATTTGTTTTCAGTTGAGCCAAAGCAAGAGTTGTCTTAATAGTTAGCAGCAGGGACTGGGTGTGATGGCTCACGCCTGTAATCTCAGCACTTTTTGGAGGTTGAGGCAGTGGATTGCTTTAGCCTAGGAGTTCAAGACCAGCCTGAACACCATGGCTAATACCCATCTCTACAAAAAATACAAAAATGAGTCAGATGTGGTGGTGTGCACCTGGAGTCCCAGGTACTCTGGAGGCTGCGATGGGATCATGCCACTGTACTCCAGCTTGGGCAACTGAACAAGACCCCACCTCTCATAAGTGAGAGTCCTTATGAATTTCTTTAAAATATTCTCTGAAGCATCTATATTCAGTTTTGTCTTTGAAATAGTTTGCTCTTCTGAGAACAAGATAAGGGAAAGGACTTTCATGTTACTATCTCTAGAGAAGCTGTGCTTAATAAGTACTATTTTTTTTTTTTTTAATGGAGTCTCGCTCTGTTGCCCAGGCTGGAGTGCAGTGGCGCAATCTTGGTTTATTGCAACCTCTGCCTCCTGGGTTTAAGCGATTCTCCTGCTGCAGCCTCCTCAGTAGCTGGAACTACAGGTACACACTACCATGCCTGGCTAATTTTTGTATTTTAGTAGAGATGGGGTTTCACCATGTTAGCCGGGCTGGTCTCGAACCCCTGACCTCAAGTAATTCACCCACCTCTGCTTCCCAAAGTGCTGAGATTACAGGCGTGAGCCACTGCACCCAGCTGTAAGTACTGAGCTATACATTGATTTTTCTTTTCTTTTTTTCCCTTGAGATGGGGTCTTATTCTTTTGCCCAGGCTGGAGTGTAGTGGCATGATTATAGCTCACGACAGCCTCGAACTTCTGGCCTCAAATGATCCACTTGCCTCAGCCTCCCCAGTAGCCAGAACTGCAGGCATGTGTCGTGTAGCCGGCTGATTTTTAAAAAAGTTTTTGTGGAGATGGAGCTTCCATCTCCTTGCTAGGTTGCCCAGGCTTGTTTTGAATTCCTGGCTTCAAGCAATCCCTCTGCCTTGGCCTCCCAAAATGTTGGGATTATAGACATGAGTCACCACACCAGGTCAAATTTATTCTTTATTAAATTTTTTCGTGTTCTTGAGAAACTTCTTGGTTAGCGCAGTTATTGCAGATGCCTCCTGTTTCTTTGCTGGCCATTGCTTTGTGAATCTTTCCTGTTTCAGATGTGTATATGGTACCTAGCTCAAACCTGCTAGGCATTCACATGCACATGCACACAGGTGCACACACACACACTGTGTACATTCTCTTTGCTGGCTACAAAGCTTTTTCTCTTTTTCAGTGGCTGCACATAACAAAGAAAGCTTTTTCTTAAGAGGCCTATCTTAAATAAAAGAGTGCCTCTGATAGATTTATTTCTAAGACGACACAACAAAACATACACACATACTCTGGGTATGAGATTTTCTGATTATTTGGTGAATCTGTATTTTTAAAATTTTTAAATTTTTTTTAGAGATGGGGTTTCACTGTGTTGGCCAGGCTGGTCTTGAACTCCTGGCTTCAAGTGATTCACCCACCTCGGCCTCTCAAAGTGCTGGGATTACAGGCATAAGCCACCACACCCAGCCAAGGATTGACATTTTTTACTTTAGTGTTTTTTTCCCAAACTATGCTTTGTGGAGCTATTACCTATATGCTAGAATAAAAATAGGTTCTCTTTTCTTTGTTTTTGTTTGTTTTGTTTTGTTTTGAGGCTGAGTCTTGCTCTGTCACCCGGGCTGGAGTGCAGTGGCATAATCTCAGGTCACTGCAGCGTCAACCTCATGAGTTCAAGGGATTTTCCTGCCTCAGCCTCCCAAGTAGCTGGAATTACAGGAGCCCGCCACCAAGCCTGGCTAATTTTTGTATTTTTAGTAGAGATGGGGTTTTACCGTGTTGGCCAGGGTGGTCTCAAACTACTGACTTCAAGTGAACCACCTGCATTTCTCCAAAAGTGCTGGGATTACAAGCATGAGTCACTTGCCTGGCTGGTTCTGTTTTCATTGTTTTTTGTTTTTTGGGTTTTTTTTTTTTTTTTTTTTTTTTTTTTTTTTTTGAGACGGAGTTTCACTCTTGTTACCCAGGCTGGAGTGCAATGGCGCGATCTCGGCTCACTGCAACCTCCGCCTCCTGGGTTCAGGCAATTCTCCTGCCTCAGCCTCCTGAGTAGCTGGGATTACAGGCACGCGCCACCATGCCCAGCTAATGTTTTTGTATTTTTAGTAGAGACGGGGTTTCACCATGTTGACCAGGATGGTCTCGATCTCTTGACCTCGTGATCCACCCGCCTCGGCCTCCCACAGTGCTGGGATTACAGGCTTGAGCCACCGCGCCCGGCCTTTTTTGGGTTTTTTTAATTGAGACAGGGTCTTGCTATGTTATTCAGGCTGATGTTGAACTCCTGGCCTCAAGGGAATCTCCTGCCTCAGCCTCCCAAATGCTGGGATTACAGACATGAGCCACCACATTTAGCCCTGGGTTTCATTTTCAAATAACTTTGGGAAACACTGCCAGATGGGTACATTTTCCTCTTGGAACTTCATGATGCACATTATACAAAATGCTTTGAGTAATTGCACATTAGTAACAAAAAACAACAAAATCATTCTTTGTGTTTAATCCAGCATTTTCCAAATTTATTTAAGCATGAAGTACTTTTTTTTTTTTTTTTGGGACAGAGTTTCGCTCTTGTTACCCAGGCTGGAGTGCAATGGCGCGATGTCGGCTCACCGCAGCCTCCGCCTCCTGGGTTCAGGCAATTCTCCTGCCTCAGCCTCCTGAGTAGCTGGGATTACAGGCACGCGCCACCATGCCCAGCTGACTTTTTGTATTTTTAGTAGAGACAGGGTTTCACCATGTTGACCAGGATGGTCTCGATCTCTTGACCTTGTGATCCACCCGCCTCGGCCTCCCAAAGTGCTGGGATTACAGGCGTGAGCCACCGCGCCCGGCTGAAGTACCTTTTTTTTGAGGCGGAGACTCACTCTGTCTTCCATGCTGGAGTGCAGTGGTATGATCTTGGCTTGTTGCAACCTCTGTCCCCTGGGTTCAAGCGATTCTTGTGCCTCAGCCTCCCAAGTAGCTGGGATTATAGGCACCTACCCCACATCTGGCTGATTTTTGTATTTTTAGTGGAGACGGGGTTTCGCCGTGTTGGCCGGGCTGGTCTTGAACTCCTGGCTTCAGGTGATCCACCTGCCTTGACCTCCCAAAGTGCTGAGATTACTGGTGTGAGCCACCCTGCCTCGCTGGAGTACTGTTCTTATATGAAGAATATCAGCTTAAAAACACTGTTCTTCTGGTTAAAAGCCTTCATAGGTTTTCAGTGTGGTTAATTGGCATGACATGTATTCTGTTTTCTCATGTGAAGGGACTTTATTCTTTCATAGGCTTTTGTTTTTAAGAACATCTCACTTTTTCACCCACCTGGGGTGCAATGGCATCATCTTGGCTCACTGCAGCCTCAACCTCCGGCACTCAAGTGATCCTCCTACTTCAGCCCCGCAAGTAACTGGGACTACAGGTGGGCACTACCCCACCTGGTTGATTTTTGTATTTTATTTTTGTAGAGATGGTGTTTTGCCATGTTGCCCAGGCTGGTCTGGAGCTACTGAGCTCAAGCTATCCACAGGCCTCAGCCTTTTAAAGTCCTGGGATTACAGCCGTGAGCCACCATGACCAGACCTTTTATAGGTTTTTAAAATAGCATTTTAATTACAGAAGTAATTTGCTCTTTTTTTTTTTTTTTTTTTTT